CCCCATCAAAATAATAGACGCTTCCGTTGGTGTTACAAACATGGTCTAAGTATTGTGTTAAAAAGACGTTTTCTTTCATTGCATAGTCGAGATAACCAGAGGTTTTTCTATTGGGCTCTAATATGTATGGAATCCAATCCAATGGCTGTATTATTTTAGAACAATCTAATATCTATAATCAATATTCCTAAAAACTAAACCCACTTTATAAAGCATAACAAAATATCGGATTTAGATCCAGCTATGTCTGAAGAGGATTTTAATCTATTTTAATCCATTTTTTACCTATATTCTGGTGACATCCAACATACATAATTGTTCAAATCTATACACATCTTCCTACAGGCAATGCAATTTCCAACCACAATAAAGCTTATGTTTGATTCGATATCAACAAAATATCGAGGAAATGTACAAAACATGTAAAACATACAAATGCATTTTAAATACAAAATGGTGGCCAATACGCGTATGGCCCCGATGTTTCCCATTCCCATTCAAACCTTTGGTTAGGCTTACTGTTCCTAAAACATAAGATACCACCCCTCTCATACACAGTTTTCAATATGCAGAATCTGTTTCTAAATCATTCATTACGGATAAAACCTTCTGTTAGATAACTATATATACATTTGTGTAAAGTTAGACGGTTTGGACTCGTAGTTGATGAAAATGTAGAGTTGCCATGCAACGAATTTACGTCCAACAGCATCATTTTGAAAGAAGGAAAGGGCGCCATAGTATGGTGTGACGTAAAGTCCTCGAAAACATACCTACCCGTAAAGTGTTCAGAAGGGTTCTGTGATAGGAATAGTAACTCCATACAGTATTAAGTTAAGCAAAATCGCCAAAAATTATTACCCGCGACGTTGCGCTTTAAATCCACGTGGAACTGACGCGCGACTAGCCGCACATTTCCAGAAAAACTGAAACCAAAACCTCTAGAGAGACAGAGAGAGAGAGAAATGGGGTATAACGTCCACCACTCGACACAAACTAGGTCATTTTGGGACTAGCACATGGGTCAATTTTATTTCAATCACTTTAGCAGTGGGAGGAAACCGGAGGACCCGGAGAAAACCTACGAGGTTAGACAGGCGATCCTACTCCTTGTCACGTACAACTGGGGAATCGAAACCCCGCCAGTTGACTCAATGACAGACCGTATGATACAGCGCGCGCGTGCTAACCATTCGGCCATCCTCCCCCCCCCCCCAAAAAAAAAAAAAAAACCCACCCTAATGATATGTAGATTATTTTAAAGTGGCAACAACTCTATCTAAATTTGTATTGTATTTTTATATAATATATTTATATTTTAAATATTGATATACATAAGTGATATGTTTTGAATTTTATTTATTGATCTGGGATATATACGTTGGCGTTAACACGAATTATAAACGAGCGGACATACTTACAAAAGACAAACTAAACATATAATCGGAATGAAACATGATATCATATTACCACTGGATTATAATTAGGTTAGCATGTCAAAGAATACGCATATATATTACAACTGAATGGTGACCAGCATGTGATACAAACTAATATTTTAAATAATCTGACACGCTAGTTATTATCTCGAGCGCACTAGATAATTAAGCAACAAGCTACTACGCTGGATTGCTGAGTATGGCACTTGATCACTCACCAGGAGATCACAGGATCGACCCCGGTGTTGGTATTTTTACAGCCAGGGTTCCTATTGTGCAGGACCTGGTACGGATCATCATATATCACCTGGGCACATTGATGGGCATGTAAAAAAAAAATACATTTTATCTTTGATAGTTTGGTTTCAAAGAAGCCGTCGTATTACATTGTCCACATTCATATTGCAGAATCTTGTTTACGTTATTATTCATTGTTTATTCTGTAAGATAAAAACGTACTTTGTGTCGATGAGTTTCAGAATTATTGTTCTTGATCAGTTTGACCACTCTATACTGGGTTTGTATAAAATGTATGTTGATTGTTTGTAGTTACCCAGACCCCGAGTTCACAAAGCATTCTCAGGCTTAGATTAAGACTTTACTCAACTTTCAATCACTGTTTATGAGAAACATCTTTGATCCAGAAACACAAAAATTTGCACATAGTTTCTTATTGATGTATTTGATAAATTAAAATAACAAAAGTTTTATAAAAGACTACATTTTAGTTTAAATAAGGTAAACATTACTGGGTAAATTCTGAACTGAAGTCTGAGAATGCTTTGTGAACACGGGGCCAGTGCGATCCCGATGATATTTTGACATTTTTTGAAGAATCGAAGAAAAGGGTGTACCTTTACATTTTCAACCACGTATGGGTGAATATTCGTGATTTTGGGGCTGATAGCTCTCGCTATAATAGTTAAAAATGTAAAGGGAATATGCTGAATTTTCAGTCAAATTATTTCACTCTAAACCGAGAAATACTTATTTTAATAACATTGTAGCCTCGATTGTCATTGTTACAGTTTTTACGATAATAAACAAAGTCTCGATTATTCATTTTACGGTTAATCATCGACGGCTGTTAATAAATGTATAATAAATAATTTATATAACATTTCAGGCCTAACGAAAGGACTGCAATAGGCAGATTTAGCTTTTGCATAATGTCTGTTTAAAGAAGCTAAATCTCTAACTCAATATCATCCAAAGTCTTCGACATTGAGAACACATATTATTTGTCAATTTAAATCAACATTGATGTTGTGATCTTTCTGTGAAAAGATGGGCTTCGGATGTCCAATCGTGTACCATAATACGTTTCAGCGCCATTTGTAACAAGGGACACAGGTCATGTCAAACGGTGATGCCATATTCTTACCTGTAGAGCATGCGCAATAAATACTATCGATGTAGACTGGAATAACCAGATGCTAGAAATTGCCATTGGATTGAGATTTCTGACGTATTCCGCGAACAAAACTGATATGAAATTACAGTAAAAACAGAAACGATTGAATGTAAATCAGTTTATATCCATTCATATTACATTATTATATGCGTTGCGACTCATTTGTATCAATTTCTAGATCCCAAACATTAGCGATTTAGCTCCTTTAAGCTAGTTTGTTACGTCGAAATGCAAAGCGGATAATTATATGCACAATTAACCCAACGAAAATTTTGGAAAACAGACGAGAATTAACATTAAAGTCAATTGGAGAAATCAATGGTGTACTGTTACCAAATTGATATTTTGACCGGAAGTAGCCCTTTTCGTTCATTTTTGGCGTGCGAGTGTAGCCTGGTCCGACTCGCATTGTATTTATAAACTCACGAGACGTTTATCACAAATAATTCATAATTACGCCCAATTTTTATGAAGAGACGATCTTTACTGCCGTGTAATATTTCCATTTAAGCGGGCATAGTTTGTAATTTAGAGACAAAATAAATCACATGACAGGAAGAGGGGATCCACCGATAACGAGTCTCCGTCATGTAATCTGAGAATTATACGTTCAACCTATTATTGATTAGGGCGCTATCTAATTCAAGATATTACGAATTACATTGAGTTTTCAAGGAATGAAATATGGTTAAACGTCTTACTTTCTGGCAAAGAGTTTTCAAGGCTACTATTATTTAGTCAATTTGTTTTGTAATCTCAAATCAAAAATTTCAATCTCAAATCAAGTATTACCGGTTTGCTTACTCATATCATAATCACCTGATACCAATTTGGAAGTTCAGAAACCCAAATTAGCTAATGCCCTTTTCTTTTTGTATCAAAATTAAAAAGCGTTGCCAGACTAGATAAACAGACCCTATATCTAATAATGTTCAGATCGTTCTTATTTTCCAGCAAACCCAAGGCGTTTTGGTAAGAATTCTATATCTTAAATAACGATCGCAAATTGGTCAGTACCTCAGCTCTATAGAGTGAGTACGTGTTTAGCAACACAATGCACTATAAAACAGATTGATTCATTTTTCAAAACACGGTAAACGTGTATAGGAATCGTATTGGGCTTAATGCCGATGATTCCTAAAAGTCTGATAGAAACCAATCAAGGGTCGGTTAAGAGTGCGGTAATGAATATGTATTTACAATCACATAAACCAGGAGCAATAATTCTTAACTTATTGATAATAGGGGCCTTATTTACCCCATAACTGACCTTTCTTGAAATTTTGTGAAACACATTCGCGAACTGTAGAATAAGTAGGAGTACGGCAAAAGACTTTGATTAAAAATACTAAAAAAACGGCAGTAGGTTAACTTTACCTGAATACTCACTATCCCTGAAAAATTTATATGTGGGCGTGTAAAATTTAAAATATCAGTGGTAAAAAAGAAAACTTCAGTTTTAAGTAAAGTAATGATTATTCAAATGATATTCTAGGACTAGTAGATATGATCTGGTTAGAGTTAGGGATATGTTCAGCTGTTACTATCTCTAAGATGTCACATTTTACTAGGGATATAAAACAATCAGCACAAATACAATTGTTGGTGTTTTGATTGGATGTAAATATTAACACGGGGATTGGCTAATAAACTGATTATTGACAGGGATCCTGTTTATCAGGGATATTAGAGATTCATGTTATAATTATAGAAGCGAGGGAACTGTACGCGGTAAACAGGAAAAACAGACTGCTTTAAACCTTACTAATCACACTCTTCTTAAAACACCACACGTTCCTCTTTCATCAAATATAACATCCCAAATGAAGTTTTCTGCTTTAGACCTGGGTTTCTGTGAAGTTTCTTTAACACAGATTAATTTTGCCAGACATTATTACCATGTACAATAATGTAGAAGCCGAGCTTCTTGTGAAAGATTATTCAAGTAAATCTTCGACAAATACGGGGAATATTTGTGAACTAAATGACTCTACGCCCGCCAGTTCCACTAAACGTGACGATTCTATATCAAAGTCTGCAACCCGCCACACATTGTCATTGATGTAAACCTATCGATATCCGGTACGCATGCGTGTTTTATCTGTTAGTTTTGCAAGCTGTTGTATTGATCTTAGTGTGAAGAGAGGCTATGAAGTAGATTGTATGTCATACTGATGTCTTATAACATGCAAAACAACAAAGCCATCTTATCGGATATAGCAGAAATGTTTTTCTAGCACACCAAGGTAAGAATCACCTTTAATTAAAACCACAGATATAAACAAAGCAAGACTTTTGTCATAACCATTGTATTAAACCAAGTAGCATTTAAACGGAGTAAAGAAGTTGTAGAATGAATTGATGCCATCCAAGTCTTTTTCTTAAATCGAAGATTTATCCAATAATCACTTTAGAGTGTCAACTACTTTGTCGCTGATCCTTTTAGACAAGTAGTCTTATAGAAAGTCAGGATTTAAAACTACTTGGTGCCTGGTATTTAGAGTTTCCATTCAAAGATACTTTATTGGTTTTCTGTCTTCGACGACCTTCTAAATTTTTTATTAGATGTTGTTGAGAAGTTGATAATTGACATTCTAATGATGTATAAAAACGTCGGTATTCCTTTCACAAATAGTCATATAATTGAATTTTAAAAATTCATGATTGAATAAAAAACCCATGAAATTTGCTTCATATCTTCACTTATTGAACCTCTGTTATTCGTGATTCTTGAGGAAAACGGTGCCACGAAGTATAAACAGGGCAAACTATATACACATATAACACAGCCAGAAATAAAGTTAGATACATATTCACTCAGATAAAGTTGCTACGGAACAGCAATACTTGTTATTGTATCCATATATAGAATGTAAATATATCCATGGCTCATTAAGTAATGCAATATTTTTAAAAAAAAACTATGGAAGAAAATTAAGAACAAGGGGCTATTAGTATTAGCCTAAACTTAAACTATGTTTATATTTTATACGAAGTATATATTGATAAAAATTGTTTACTAATTATTTAAAGAACCAGCCATTATTTTATCTAAATTTGATATTTAATATGATGGAACTACTCCTAATTAAGAAGTTTAAAGCCACGTTTCACAAGTACGCATTTAGTATTTAGCCACATTAAGACGCAATTTTATCTATGTAAACACAGGCGGAGACTTGTCAGGTTCTCTAAGACGCCCACCGGCAGTAAAGTCGTCATTCTTAATTCTAAAGTCAATGTTAACACATCCTGATGAGCAAGTGTTAAAAGTTCCAAATAATTCTTTTAAAAAAATCCACAACGAACTTTGTATCACGTTTTCAATAAACTCAATATCCGGTTGAAAACATGCAGCTTGTTTAAACATAATCATGGAGATAACCCAGTTTCATGGAGATAACTCCATTTCATGGTGATAACTCCAAAGGTAGGAAAATTGGGAACAATATCACGATTATTGTATTTGTAGTGTGGTTGTCCTGTACTTACGGATACTAATAGAGAGCATTGTAGTGTATGCGCTCAAAAATAAAGTGTAAACTAAGATCGAGAAACGAGTTCTCAGACTTAAGTTACTTAAAATTGTTCGCCTTATTTTAGCTAAAATATAGCCCTTTATAAAACCTCTGTTGTTTTAATGGATCAAATACGTCAATAAGAAACTATGTGCAAGATTTGTGTTTCTGGATCAAAGATATTTCTCATAAACAGTGATTGGAAGTTGAGTAAATTCTTAACTTAAGTCTGAGAATGCTTTGTGAACTCGGGGCCAGAACTGGCGTTTTTGAATTCCGATAAGGCCCCCTATATCCCAACAAACAACCTCCCAAGATTTTAAAATTTTCCATGGAGTTTACACCATGTCATCAAGGTTTAAATGTCAAAACCTTAACTGAAATATTACTTCGAAGTTTATAAACGAAATATTCTGAATTTCAATAGTGTCCCATCAAGTTTTAAAAATTTTACGTCCGTATCGCGTTCACAAGATTGGAAAGTGACATGGTTTTAAACTATGGAATTCATCATCAAAACGGTGGATGAGTGACTTAAACTTCGTGTTTTTTTAGCCTTTACTTATTGCTTACGACCAAGAACAATCTATGCATATTTATAATAAGATCACAAGATCAGTTCAACACGGCGACCACTGTCGAATGTAGGTGACAAAATTATCAAACAGGTGAGGATTTCACATAATCTCATCTGTTTGACTTAACTTTATAGTTTTTCTTCAAAATCCATGTATTAAGAAAGCATTTAATTAGCAACTTGGTGCTAGCACTAATAACAACTTTTTTTGTTCGAATCAGATTTCTTAGAATAAGTTAAATGGCGATATAAAGCCTTTACTATTTTAACAGAGAATTATTATCAGTCGAGGAAATCTACGCAAAATAATTAATGATTTAAAAAAAAACTGTTTGTTTTGAAAGCATCGAGTACAATTATGCTTCTTTTCTAAAATAAGAAAGAACAAAAGTTGCATAGTTAAAAGCTGAATTGATGAGGAATATTACTTATAAAGGGTATTGAAGATGAGCGGGGCTGATATCCATGGTATAAACTTTATAACAACAGATTCAAACAGATTAAATTAAATGAGATTTTGAATCATTTTAATACCAAAGGGATCTCGTTGATTAGATAGAATGATTATCTTGTTGAAACTTATAAAAAGTTTAATTTCAGAGGTTTAAAAAAGTCTTCGAAAAAGTCACCATTTACATGCGTATGGGCAACGACATGTCATGGAGTGCCACCTTTTTGATCATTTTCGTCTTTTGTGTTGATTTTGAAATGAACTGAGGGTATGTAGTATTTTTGAACTTTGTTAGATTCTTTTTATGGAAATGTGCTAATGAATTAGTTTATTCAAGAAAGCGACGAGTGAAATAGATAACTACGTCTGACATGATTAATATTTATTTATAACCTGTTGTATTGAAAATAGGGGTGCATATATGGCAAGAAATGTTATAAGGTTTAACGTCCTACCTTTCTGCACCAATCTTTCTAATGAAGACGGACATGTGTCATACAGTCTGCTACCAGGGGAATTTTTACCCCGACAGCGGCCTACTCGTATTTCGAATTCCATCTTTCATGGGTTCTTTTACGTGCACACCAGCGTGTACACGGGTTCTCGGTTTATCGTACCAAGCGAATGACTCTGCTTTTCTTTGGTAGGTCCTACGTCATGTACCCCAGAAAAGTTGAAACCACACCTACAAATCCCGATGATCTTTCTCGGCCAAAACCGGGATCGAGTGCGCAACTTGGCCCCCTTTATCTGTATTTTTAATACAATTAGATAATATTAATAATGAAAAGGAATATACCGGTAACGTGATAATGGAAATATTACTAACAATTAATATTGAAACCTCTTCTAATTTGCCTGGAAATATTACTAACAATTATTATTGAAACCTCTTCTAATTTGCCTGGAAATATTACTAACAATTATTATTTAAACCTCTTCTAATTTGCCTGGAAATATTACTAACAATTATTATTGAAACCTCCTCTAATTTGTTTGGAAATATTACTAACAATTATTAATGAAACCTCTACTAGTTTGTAAATAAAAATTTTATTTTTATGATTACGTTTGAAAATTCTCTCAGGAAAGCGGCGTTTTCACCTACCCTTCTTCTATTTCCATATGTTAAGGGATCTTGTACGTATATACCAATGTGCACGTGAGTAAACGGCGGTTTTTTGTTCCTTGCGAACGACAATGGATCTTCGCGTCCAAGGCCAGGATTTGAACTAGGGAAATTCTAGTCGAGAGTCCATTGCCTTGACAGCTTGACTACCAGAGACCCAATATCGTTCTTGAGTTTGACATCCATGGTAATTTGTGTTGGGTATTATTTACATCATGTGTTGTCATTGATTAAATTATCAGCGATATATTTATTTATAGATCAGTGAACATCCTATATTTGCGTTAGAATCATTTTACCTGGCACGCGTCTCACCTATATATAATTAAGATAAAATAATTATTATTTATCAATAACCCAAGCGGAAGTTCACTCCTGTGGTATTTTTAAAGATCATCTATTTTACACATAAAGCAGTCGCTGGGTTTGATCTTACAATATTACAAATGCCTGTAACATTCTGATATAGAAAACTGAACTTGAAGTACAACATATATCATGAAATGAGGTTTAACGTCTTACTGCTTTGCATGGGCTATTTGTGATGAGCATACTCAACGGAGGGTGCTATGGTGGACATTTGACCCGGTCACTGACGTTTAAGCGTTTTCGACTACTCTTCATCAAATTTCAACTGTTATTTTACGTGCACACCAACGTTAGACGGATCCCGCTCTGTATTTTGCCCCATGCGAACGACTAGACGTTTTGTCCTTACCAGTACCTGCACTCAAAACCGCTGACAAGGGAAACCTATTGTCATGTAATTATAAATAATTGCACGCATTTGCAAATTCAAACCCACGTCGTTGGTAAAAGTTGATATTACTGTCCAATCCTTTACTGCCTCAGTTCTTTAGCTTATGTGTACGCCAAAGCAGTAGTCGTTCAAGAAACGACGTATGCGTGCCAGTTCTGACAAAAGTAGAAATTTCACGTAATCAATGATATTGTTGTGTGCCTGTGTACTTGCATAGCATGACCGGCGATTTTATCACAGCGCTTCACATTCCTTAAGTCCAACGGGTAGAGAATACCATATCTATTCCAATTGGCAAGTAAGTGTCGTTACATAATTTTCCGTTTTTGTTTGTATCTTATGTGTTTTTAAACATCCAAATCGAACATATTTTGGTACGTAATGGACATCAACCTGTTTATGACATTTTGCTACGTAATGGACACCCTCTTGTTACATGGTATTTTGGTACGTCATAGACAACCACTTGCTATGGTATTTTGGTACGTAATGGACAACCACTTTCTTGCGGTATTTTGCGACATAGTCGACTGCTACTTGCTTATAAAGGAAGTTTGGCATTGCATAAACCTAATTATATTAATATTGTCTTCTTACTAAACACACGTATATTACTTCATTATGCATTCAGGTATGAAATTACTGATTAGTAAATATACCGGAAGTAGTATTATCCCTACCCCATTTTTTTGTGTTATTTTGTTATCTCTTACATGTATGTCTTTCCAAAAGGAGACGTTCGCCATCGAAAACACGAATTATTGGTCAATTTAAATCAACATTGATGATGTAAACTTACCTGGAAAAGATG